AAGTTTACTCATGTATGCATTCTTAGTGACTCGATGAATATGATTATATAAAAATTCAAGTTGGATTTATCAGGCAAAAATGGATTGAAACACTAAGCACTTCACGAATATCTGCCATAACCTTCATCTTTGTGCCAGTTCATGTGGGTGTTTAAGGGAACGAGCGCGCAGACTATCTTGCTGACACTGCAGTTGCTATGGCTGGCCCAGTACTGGACAGGAGTGATGTTATCAATGCCATGCGCTGCACTTACCGTATTGAGGAGCGTTGCGTATCCCTGTCTAGACTGATGGACATGGGGGTGCAGCCTGGAGCTGCAAGAAATGAACATTACACTAAGAGGGCAAGACGTTTCATTTACCAGCACAGAACAGGCGTCATCGGTCGTTTTACACTTGTGGAGCTTTTGAGGAGAAGATTGGAGCACCTATGGGTCTGTCTGGAGTGCTGTGATGATAATCCTTTCTAATCACTAATCACCATCATCATAAACCACTTCTGCCGTTAAGCGGCGTGGGGAGAAATAATTTGCGATCCAGTGCACGTTGGCTGCCAATGGCTATTGTTAAAAATAATAAGACGAAATATCTGCTAAAGAGGTCTTACCTTGTAAAAAAAAAAAACACAGTGTCCTATAAAATCTAGCATACCCTAAGATTTAAGCTTAGTATTTAACTCTCATATTACGAGTCAAAAATCACACACACACGCACGTACTCACACGCGCGCATACACACACATAGACAGAGGAAATGGGTGAGTGAGAGAGAGAGAGAGAGAGAGAGAAAGAGAGAGAGAGAGAGAGAGGTATGGTACAATACCCGATGCAATGAACGTGACCCTTTTTGCTTCAGTCACTCTTTACTGCTTGCATTACATTTCACAACAGATCTATTGATTGACACCTTTCCGTCTTTGTAGACGGTTACATTATCACAACTCAGCCGCAGTATAGGGACTGGATACTTGAGCGCCCGCCCCAAGATCTTCGGTTCGAATCATCATAGGACAGGATTTGTATACTTGATCCAGGAATCCCAGGTCAAGCGTTAGGTTTTCTGGGAAGTAAAGGCTGTCGGCGTTAAAATGACAACATGCTGCATTCAGCGGTTTTATAACTATTGGAGTTTAAGCCAGATGTGTGAAATGAGGCCTTTACTTCACAGTGTACAAAGAATTGCTAAGGTACAGATCCTGTTTGTGTGATCAGCCACTGATTAGCATACCATATTCATAAACTCTCTATCAGGGGCGCTACAACGCAGAACATCGTGCACTGGGAGTGGTGCAGGGGTGGGTTGGGGGATTAGGGGGTCAGTCCACTTTTAATAATCCAGGCCAGGGGCTCAAATGCCTTAAGCATCTTTTAATTAGGCAGTGATAATAATAACCGAAGCCAATGGACATCGCTACAAATCCTGGCTAGTGATACCACAACATCTAGTTTAGGAGTGGTGGTGTAGGCTACAAATCCTGGCTAGTGATACCACAACATCTAGTTTAGGAGTGGTGGTGTAGGCTACAAATCCTGGCTAGTGATACCACAACATCTAGTTTAGGAGTGGTGGTGCAGGCTACAAATCCTGGCTAGTGATACCACAACATCTAGTTTGGGAGTGGTGGTGTAGGCTACAAATCCTGGCTAGTGATACCACAACATCTAGTTTGGGAGTGGTGGTGTAGGCTACAAATCCTGGCTAGTGATACCACAACATCTAGTTTGGGAGTGGTGGTGTAGGCTACAAATCCTGGCTAGTGATACCACAACATCTAGTTTGGGAGTGGTGGTGTGGGCTACAAATCCTGGCTAGTGATACCACAACATCTAGTTTGGGAGTGGTGGTGTGGGCTACAAATCCTGGCTAGTGATACCACAACATCTAGTTTGGGAGTGGTGGTGTGGGCTACAAATCCTGGCTAGTGATACCACAACATCTAGTTTGGGAGTGGTGGTGCAGGCAGTCCCTGTAGCATTCCCCTGGCTTCAAAACCAGGTGGCCACACATGTCGTGTGTAGCTAAGTGGCTTACACGGCATGTTGAGAACGGTCTAGACATGTATGCTCAGAGTGGCAAGCAACGATTTAGAGGTCCTGGGTAGTTAGCTGCCTTGGATATTTTTTTTTCTCCAGGGGTGCCAATATTTTGGGAATGAATAAGAGAATGAATAAAGAGAATGAATGAATGAATGAATGAATGAATGAATGAATGAATGAATGAATGAATGAATGAATGAATGAATCAATCAATCAAGAATTGACATCACGGCACTCGGGACATTCCTCCACTTCATCTTTGTCCCCTTCTTTAGTAACCAATAAAGAGTTGACATGCGAATAGTTTCCCATTCAACGCTGACTCAAAAGAGCCAGTAAAAGAGATGTATACACAAAACTCAGACCTTTGCACAAAGCAAAAATTTAATCGGACGAACAACCTAGAATTTCCACCTAGTTTAACACTGTTTTACAGAGAATAAGAACAAAGAAGAAGAAACGAAGAAGAGAAGAATAATAAGAATAATAAAAGAAGAAAGAATAAAATAATAGATAAGAAGAAGAAAGAAGAAGAAGAAGAAGAAGAAGAAGAAGAAGAAGAAGACGAAGAGAAGAAGAAGAGAAGAAGAAGAAGAAGAAGAAGAAGAGAGAAGAAGAAAGAAGAAAAGAGAAGAAGAAAGGAGAAGAAAAGAAAAAAATGAGAAATTGAGGAGAAGAAGAAGAGGGAAGAAGATGATGATGATGATGATGATGATGATAATAGAAGAAGAAGATAAAGAAGAAGAAGAAGAAGAAAATGAAAGAAAAGGAGGAGGTAGGAGAAGAAGAAAAAGAAGAAGAGAAGAAGAAGAAGAAGAAGAAGAAGAAGAAGAAGAAGAAGAAGAAGAAGAAGAAGAAGAGAAGAAGAGAAGAAGAAGAAGAAGAAGAGAATAAGAAGAAGAGAAGAAGAAGAAGAAGAAGAGAAGAAGAAGAAGAAGAAGAAGAAGAAGAAGAAGAAGAAGAAGAAGAAGAAGAAGAAGAAGAAGAAGAAGAAGAAGAAGAAGAAGAAGATCAAGTTAAATGTTGGGACGGCAAATAAGTAGATTAC